TTCTGATAATTTCAATGTAATTTCCAATATGAGGACAAGAGAAGATGAACTACTGCTAATTTTAAAACATAATCTATGGATTATGAAATAATATAGGGGAAAGCATAATCAAATCCTCCATATATCCATCTAGTACAGGGATGTCAAACTCTTGTCATCATGGCAGCATCTCGTGACATATTACGACTTTTTTCCCCTTCACTAAACAGCACGTGACGCATCCAGTCCTCATGCTGTGAGTTTGACAGACCTGATCTAGTACATTTAGTAAAATGCATGAAAGGTTAAAATAGTGAAGATAATGACAATCCTTTTTCTAGTTGTTAGAACTGAAAACTTCAATGAAGCTGTTTCTAGTTATTTTTAATGTTCCCAGTGTGTTTTTCTTTGGATTTCAATCTATCTAGTAAAATTATAAATATGCAGTAATAATTTGTCAGTTTCTGTTATACTGGTCAAGATCCAAAAAAGGTAGAAGAGAAATTTTTACCTGCGTTGCTTCATGTAAGGATATACTAGAGTAAGCTAGAGTAAGAAATGAAATCACTGAAAGAAGTAGCTATTTCTTTGATCTGCACATTGGGGAAAAATCTCTAGGAAAGGCATTGTTATGCTTCTTTTTTTTTTTTTTTACACTGAAGAGATGCTTCTATGAGTGGCTGATTGCTAGAGTTTTGGATTCTTGCCCATCAAATCAAGAGGCACATTTCCAATTAAGATATTGAAAATTAGATTGCTAGATTATTAAAACCTTTAGTACTTACCATGCAACATTTTAGACCAGGGGTGTCCAACCTTGGCAACTTTAAGACTTGTGGACTTCAACTCCCAGAATTCCTCAGCCAGCTTTGCTGGCTGAGGAATTCTGGGAGTTATAGTCCACAAGTCTTAAAGTTGCCAAGGTTGGACACCCCTGTTTTAGACCTAAAATAAAGACAGACTTTAACAGCCAAATACTAAAACATACTTCCTAAAACACATTAGGAGAGATATCCAACTGTCGATTCTCTGCGAAAACATATCCAGCATTTGTCAGCAGTATTGCTAAAGGGGAAGTTTTTAATCATTCTTTGATCTGCAGCTCCATGCTTCCAAAATTTGCTTCTGAACGATGTGGAAGGTAGCATGAAGACCATGCTCATCATTTTGTTGACTGATGCTTTTCATCTACTCCGAAACTTAACTGAGAATCTGAAATCCAATTGCATCATTACTTTTCAATTAATTGTGGAGCCTATCTTCCACTGAAGTAAAATCAAAATCAAGGTCTCTCTTTAAATAAAGACTAGGGCTGTGCAAAACTACAGATTTAAAAACGAAGTGGTGTTTAGAAGTGTGTGAAAACATAAACTTATCCTTTCTCTTCCACTTTTTATACCAAAGGGATCTTTTCCTGAAGCTCATGGTAGCCATGCTATCCTGAGAAGGGATCAGAAATCATTTTTAACCTGTTCAGTTTAAGAACTTCAGTGTGCATGCAACAAGAGGAAGGTATTTTTCAGTATGACAATCATTCCTTCCCTTAAAGTCCTTAGTGCACACCGTAGGGCTTCTGAGTTGGGCAACTGTAGCTTGCCATATCCTGGCCACCAATAAGAAATTAGAGAGGCTAGTGGCATATAAAAGATTCATTTGGTCTGTCAAGTTACTGCATGCCAACTAAGAAACAATTGAAGGTCTCACAGACTGGAAGGGCTAAACAGAGGACTTTGCATTAGGTATCTGCCATAACTTGTATGGCATTGATCCAGGCTATCAGGGGAATCATCTTACCCCAATAGATTCAGTCTGCCCCACCCATGCTGGCAGAGAGGGCATGGTACAGACTCTGTCAACCAAGGAATTCTGTTGGGCAGGGTCCAGGAAAAGAGCCTTCTCTATGGTGGTGAGATCTGCACCAACCTTCCTTCCGTATGGGCCTGAAGTCCTGGTCCTGCCAGTGAGTCTGGGAGGAGTATCACTCTGAAGGTGGTTATTAGATTGAGAACAAACCCCATCTTCCCTCATGGTATTTGTGCTCCTTTCTCCCCCCCCCCCCATGTAATCTTTTAATTATAAAATTTAGTGTAATTATGATTACTGTTATTTCTAAGGTTTTTTAATGTTTGTTTTTAATATTTGTAAGTTGCTCAGATTGTCTGGACGAGATAAGCAGCACATAAATTCAACAAATCAATCAATCACCAACCTTGGAGAAGACTCCTTTCAGTTTTCTCCATTGTACAGCTCTCTCTATTGTACAAACCCTGTTCCCATTGTGCAAACTCCTTCCAGCCTTCTCTGTTGTACAAACTCTGCTCTCTGTTGTATAAGCTCTAAAAAGAAAAGGCTGGGAGGGACTTAACAACAGGCCAAATAAGGCAATATGATCATTTTGCTGTTAGAAGCAAGATCTTGTTTTGCTTTGTGAAATGACTTTGGGATTGATTAATTCAAAGTAGATGACCTGTTGAAAAGGTTTGCACATACTTACTTTCATCATCCAAGTAATGGGACATTGGATGGAAAGTCTAATTATTTCTATATCATTCACAATACATTGGATATTATCTTATCTACACAACATTCATGAAGGATTTATACCACTACTAAATCCTACCCAGATGTTCAATCTGCTGAAGAAGCTGGGCATAGGTGACTGAACTCCTGCAATGCATGAGCATTGGATCATTAGTTGGATCAAGACACAAGGAAATTAAAAATGTTACATATTTTAGACAATACATGGCCTAAAATCTTGGATATGAAATATCTGATATGAGCAACCTGAATGATCACATCTCTTCCATCCCTACTGAATACCACTGTATGTGTTTTAACTGGAGAGTGCACAGAAAAGCCCTCTCGCCTCATCCAGTATCAGGACTAAAATTAGTATTATTGAAAAGATACGGACATCAGGGGCTAACAATTCGCACATGTAGGTTCCATCCAGAAGTAAGTATATTAAATAACAATGCTCTTAATAAGACTAGAATGACTTAATAGTTCTGAGTGATTCAAAGCAAGCAGCTTCCTGGAATGTTATAACTTGATTCCAAGCTAACACAAGTTTGCTTCTACTCCCTGGATTGCCGATGTCTTAAAAAGTACAAAACAATTATAATGACCTTTAGAATAGTTCTCTATTCATTACCCTGAATAACAGATATCCTAACAGTAGCTTTTTCCATTATTGTTTCCTAGGTACATACACAGCAAGAATCTGGCTTAATATTTGTGTACCTGGTAGAAAAGTTGGAAGGAAAGAAAAGCAATTAGGATAACTATCCTTATATTCAATGCATCCCAACATAGTTACCAGATTTCTATCAAACTACTATATGGAACAACTTAACAAGCTGTAAATTCCCAGAGAGGCTTACTCATTATTGGTTCTCTCAGTTGTGTAAACAAATATATCCTAAATAGCAAACACGTTTGGAATCCCACATGAAAAGCATACAGTTCAGAGAAAATTACACAGATAATTAACAATTTGGCAGGTGAGGGTTCTCCAAACTCCAGATATGTTGAACTAACCAGGCAACTATGCAGGAGTTTAAAGAGTATATATTTAAATAGCTGGTAGTAAACTGACTTTGCAAATAGATTGCAGTCATTCCCTGCAAAGACTGTTTATAAACCTGGTCTAAGGACATAATTGGTAGAGGCAGCAGGCTGTTAAGAAATAAGTATTGAACATTTTCTGTGGTATCTTTCAATGTTTAAAACTTGCTGTGAGGCTATCAGAAAAATTTAAAACACCAGCATTCAGAGCCCAACACCTTGTACAAAAGATAACCAAAATGGATGTCAATGCCTGTTGGAGTTTTGAAGTTTTGAGGTATTAGCTGTTGGTTCTTGTGACTAAATGTTTTGCAAAAAGCACCACACAAATAGAAAAAAGTTTTCAGAGGGGTGGGGGAAGTGTTTTATTGGCTCTGCTGCTGGTTAGGCATTCCTTTTGGTCTCCTGTGTGAAGAGACCAGACTGCTATAGCAAGATGACAAAAATAATTTGAGTAGGGCTAGGCTGGATCTAGAACTGGCCCTGTTGTCAAGACTCAAGTTGACCAAGAATTGGTGATGACATCAGAGGCTGCAGGCTCTCATCCTTTCATTTTCTTCTGATTGGTGTTTCAGGTTCATTTTCTCTGTCCAAGAGCACAAGCACCATGAAAGAGCCCTTTCCCATGTCCTTTCCTTCTGAGCCTCCTGCAAATGCCTCAATTCCAATGGGGCAGGCAACTAAGTGGGTCCAAAATATAGAGCCACCACTGCTAGGTCCATTGGGAAAGCTAAAGGAGTGAGGGAAGGACACATTTCTCCCTCTGCTGACAATTGTTTTCTGGCACCAACTGGTGTTTGTTCTATTTTTACTACCATGCACAGATGTAAAGAGAAACAACTGGCATTCTCAGAGCAACAGTATCTTTTCCTGTTTCATTATCTTAGCTTTTTAAAAAAAAAAAAAAAAAAAACAAGCACAACCGAATCCAGCAAAAGCTGTTTTTTCTGCTACATTGCTAATTCTAAAACTCATTCTAGAAAGACAGAACAGATTGCTATTTCCAAAAAGCAAATTATAAAGGCATGCAAAACTCCTTTCTAAAGAAGTACAATTCACTAAAAATCCAACTGTCATTTGCTTTATTAGAAGCTCATGCAGATCTGACAAAAGAAACAGGTGGGGAAGGCTGGAAGTTTAGTTAGGCAAGATGGCTTTCTAATGCAGCACATCACAATCATTCTCTAGAATATGGCTATCGAACCACAGAGATTGTGCATTTTAGTGTGTGCAGTAATGTGTGTAGCATGAACTCTTTTTACTTGCGCATTTTAATGGTCTTTGAAATCATGTTTGCCTTTGGCTCTCCTGCAGACACTTTCTACAACATGCAGGGTAAAAGCAGCTAATAAGCATAATTAGCTCGACACTCAGCTCGATTTAGTTTTGCGCTATGGACTGACTGCCTAGTCAGGGAAGAGGAAGTGTAACATTTTTGTTAATATGCTTACCCGAGGGCCCTGATCACCTTGATCTCCCTGCAAAGTGGAAAGATGATAGTTTTAACACAGCGTGTGTGCTAACCCAGCTCTCTTAAATAATCTTATATCATAACTGCGTCAATAGCCACCAGTTACTATCAGAAGGACTTCCGCTTAGTTGGTTAGTAGCAGAGATTTGCTGACTCACCTTCTCACCTTTTGGACCAGGTGGACCCTGAAAGGAAGAGAAAGGATATTCATTAATCATTTCATCATATGCTTGATAAGCCAGCCAGATGCTTACAAGCAGCAGAAGTGGTATCTAATTTGAATAACTCCTTTAGATTGCAGTTTAGGGGTGCTTGATTGAATATCTCTACGTCTAACGAAGATCTTTGCATGTACAGCTAGTATATTATGAACACTATCCCAGACACTGGTTTATCTTTTGAATTGCTTTTCGTGAAAATATCAGGTTGGATTCCACAAATGCAAGATCAAAATAGGATGAGCATTAAAAAGGGTTCTGTGGGAGGTTAAAAATGTCTACAATTAAGTTTAGCTTAAAAACAATCCATAAAAAAGTCAGCTTTTAGAATGTTGGGTCTTCTACTATTATTGCATTAAAACTTCAAGCAAATCCAGCCATGATGGACACTGTGCTGAGAGATGCTGGGGGAGTTTCACTTAGCATTATCTTAGGAATACAGCTTCCTTAACCAGCACTATAGCCAATACCACACATGAATATTTGATCATTTATAGGCTTGGTTTTATAGAGCATACCTTGGCTATTCTGAATTCAAGATAATGATCAGTTACATAATTTAGACAATGCAATACAAGCAATCAACATAATTTAAGTTAAACAATGCAACTTAAAACAGCCGAAAGAAATATCTGTTGTTGCTGACTAGACCTAGAAAAACTGGGCAAGGCTGCAACCAGGATAGCAAGATCCCAGTATAATAAGAACAAGAGTATTCTGTAAAGATTTACAGCCATGATTGACTTCATTTTGAATTTCTATCCGCAGTAATTTCTGTGTTCAGTAGAACTATATCATGTCTTAGCAAATAAATATTCAAATTTATGAATTTAATGTGATTTCTGACACTTTTTCTACAGTATAACAAAGGAAATTCTAAGTATCTTGTCCTGAAAGATTTCCATAGTGAGTGTCATAGTCATATTCAATGTGATGATCTACTTCTGCACTTCAATAAAGAACAATTCTACCAGAAATGTTTGTGAGGCTATATCTGCATATAAAAATTCAAGATACCAATCATCACTTTTTGATCCTTTCTATACATACACTGCAATCACATAATCTTGGGGAGGAGCGGTTATATTCCATGAAAATGCCACTGATTCCCATTTACAAGGGGTTAGATTTTTATTCTCTCTAGAGTGACTAATATAATTATGCTTAATATACAAAATGGCATTCTATTGCCTCTATCGAGATTCTAAGTAGTTGTATGATCTATTTAAGCCATGTATTTTTCCAGTGCCAAAAACAAAAGTCTAGGGATCCACTTCTGTTTTGCTTTGCTTTGGGGAATTAATTTTTATTTCAGATCAGGAGATCCTGGCTAAGTTTAATTCATGTAACCACAATGGATATAGAAAAAGCGCATAGCAAGATAGTCATATAAAGCTTCATTTCATGTATTAAGATTTGGAAGAGGCTGATAGATATCAAGGTTTGAAAATACATGAAAATTATTTTTAAAAGTCTTTGCTCCATTATTATAATTCTGGACTAAGTTGTACATCTCATATTTATGTTAAAGTTTGTTTTTCATAGCAACATTCATTTAAAATGTGCTGTATGTAACATTACTTATCAGTGGCATAACTTGGCGATCATGCAATTCAGTTTGAATCACACTTGCTAAAGTCCAGTGTATCTAATTTGGTGATCGCATCAACCTTTTCTGATTATAATTAAATCATGCTTTTAATTTATATATTTTCTCTTACATATACTTAGTCATATTATAATGAGGCATACTTTAAAGAGAGAGATAAAAACTATTGGCTGAATATTAGATTTGATTCATATATAAGATATACTTGGGGAAAACATACTCTATGTACAAACTTACAGAATAGGAATAATTCTAGGACTTCAAAAAATAAGAAAGAAATTTAATATAATGGAATGTCAATTCAGGGATGAGCAAGGTTACAATCAAGTGGTTAAAGTAGAGGGGAAGGAATAAAGGAAGCATTAGGGGGAATAGATAAAATAAATCAGTTTATGATTTGACTAGGTTACTTCCTAGTTTACACTGAAATCATAATTTTGCATGTTTCATGTAATCATAGGGCTGGAAGAGATTGTGGAGATCTTCTAGTCCAATCCCTTTCCCAGAGCAGGAATCCTTATTCCAGACAAATGCTTGTACAATTTTTTCTCGAAAACCTCCAGCAACAGAGCTCCCACAACTCCAGGAAACCAACTGTTCCATTGATTAATTATTCTCATTGTCAGGAATTTTCTTCTTAGTTCCAGGTTGCTCTTCCTTTCATGAGCTTCCATTCATTGCTTTTTGACTTGCTTTAGGTGCTTTGGAGAATAAATAGACCTTTTTCTTTTCTCTGGCAAGCTCTTCAAGTATTGGAAGGCAAGTATCATGTTACCCATAAGCCTCCTCTTTGTTATGCTAAACATACTAATTCCCTTAGCTGTTCATTATATGGTTTAGCCCCAAATTATATTTTTTGCTCTTCTCTGAACTCTAAAAAGGCCTTAGCATCTTTTTTGTATCATGATGATCAGAACTGGATGCATTACTCCAAGCGTGGCCTTACTAATGTGGTACAGAAAAGTACTATCAATTCGCATGATCTTCATGCAGGGGTGGGTTTCTACCGGTTCTGTCCACCTCTGTAGAACTGGTAGCTCTGAAAAGCAGCAGACATAGGGCTCTTACCTGATCTTTATTTCCTGATTTTTCATCTTCAGCTGCCGAACGAGGCACTGCTGCAGTTAAAAAAGCAGGAAAAGAGGGCTGTTTCAAAGGCTGCATCTCTGCACACAGCATGCTGATGACAATTTACAGGCACGCGGCTCTCAGCGTGCAGGGAAGCTCGTAAATCCTGAACAGGTAGTTAACCCTGTCGTATCCCACACCTGTCTTCATGCTATCCCCTGTTGATGCAGCCTAGGACTGCACTGACTTTTTTTTTTGCAGCTGAGGCACATTGCTGGTTCATATTTAAATGGTGGTCTACTAGTACACATAGATTCCTCTCATAGGTATTACTGTGAGCCAGGTACTATCTGTTCTGTACCTGTGAATTTGGCTTTTCCTGCTTAAATATAGAACCTTACTTTTCTCACCACTGAGCTGCATCTTTTGAATAGGGCCCAATGCTCAAGTATGTCGATATTTTTCTGAATCTTGTGTGTCTCTTCCAAAGTTTTTCCCCAGCTTGGCATCATCTGGGGATTTGATGAGTGTCCATTCAATATGCTCATCTAGGTCATTTATCAAGATGTTAAAGAGCACTGAGCCCAAGACAGAATCTTGAGATACACCACTGCATGCTTCCCTCCACACAGATGTAGTTCCATTGAGAACCACATCAACCACATCAGTCAATTGCAAATTGATCTGGTGGTAGTACTGTAGTACATTGTTCTATTTTACTGCAGTCTAAGTATACTATATCCATAGCATTTTCTTGATCCAGTAGTTTAGTCACTTTGTCAAAGAAGGCAATAAGGTTTGTTGGCATGGCCTGATTTTAACAACCCATGTTGGCTTTCTAGTAATCACCTTGTTCTTTTTTAAGTGCTCACAAATCCATGGTTTCATTATCTTTTCCAGCATTTTCCCAGCTATTGATGTCAGGCTGATTGGTCTGTAGTCTCCTGGATCCACTTTTTTCTCCTCCTTGAAGTTTCCCCCCCAATATTCTGGCAATTCACTTGTGCTCCTGGGGCTCTGAAATATTTCATTCACATCTGCCAGTTCCTTCAATATCTTGGCCAGTACCCACCTGGTCCTGGTAATTTGAAGTCATTCAAGGTAGATAGGTATTTTCTTACTAGTTCCATGCTTATATTTATATTCATTTCAGGGGATTTTATAGATGTCCAATATAAATGAAGAGCATATAAAAATCCAAGTTTTAAATCTGGTAGTATTTCCGACAAATGTATCATGGAAGAGTTGAATACTCATCTTTTGTAACTAAATGTGAGACATTAAAAAAAACCAATGTTTACTCAGACCCATTTTAATTATCTTTAGCCAAGATTGAAAGGGTGTGGCCAAACTGATAGAGAAGGGCTAAATACTGCAGTGAGAATCTGAGTAGTTAACAACTATGATGTTATCAGGTAACATTTGCTCCTGATTTCATATCATGGGATTAGGTTGAATTATATATAAGGGCGAGTGGACTACATAAGGAGACAATAACTTTCAGGGTTGGATGCAATTAATTGTTAAGAGTGAAAATCTGATGTAGGACTGATTCTGTTTTGAATTTCCATTAAAAGGCCATCTGCCTTAATGCCATCTCTAAGAAGTCACAATATAGCTGAAAAGAATAATATTTTTCTTGAGGTGATAAACAATACAAACAGTAAAAGCATTATAACTGAAAGGAAGAAATCCCAACCATAGCTGTCAGTTCCAGTAAAGGTACTTAAGTTGCTTCCTTTACCCTTCCCTTAAGACACGTGAAACTCTTTTTTGTATATAGAAACCTTATGAATAAAACCCAACTGGTTCATATAATAGCTTCACTTTTAAATGATAAAAAATGATCTAGAAAATTATATTTCTCCAAGGAATGAAGACCCTGGGATCTATTTACATCCACATTTGTTTATATGCACAGACCCAATCTTACATATTACTACCTAAGCCTATTTAATTATTATGCAAACATGAATAAGGATTTAAAAGCAGAAGTGAGCTACTTTTGAGATTAAATAATTTTAAATAAGAGTTGGATTGCTTTGATTCCTGTTCACCTTCATGCATTTAAAAATACTCTTCCATCGAGTTCACTAAGAGAATATATAACATTGTATGGTCCTATTCATCCATATCTTATTTTCCTGAACCATGATTTCATTTTACTCAAAGGAACCAATTAAATGCAAAACTCCTGGACTTAAACCTTCTGGCTGCATGGATTCTCATGAGCATAAGTGGTTTATGCATCTACTGGTCTGCTGTACTTACTGATCTGCTTCACAAAACA